CCACAGTGACTAGATTTGCACACAATGCTAAGATATCAGGGGGCACGTTTGCAAATCGTGTTACGCTGATCCTTCCCACTGTGGCTTAATATTACATATCAACCAGGCCATTGCTTTGTGCTTTGCTTTAGCAAGCTAGAGTTTGTTTTAAGCCGTGATACCTGGTTTACATGTCAGTAGATTCTAAAGTGCCACACTGGGAATAGTTCTTAGGCATTAGTTGTATAAAGCTATTCTGTCTGGAATGGGGGCAGTTCCAGAACTGACGACAAGGGAGGAAAATTATTGATGACGGCTATTGCAAAGGCCTCCAGCAAAGGTACCTTCCTCTTTGCAAACTCATTAGAAAGAGAGGAGGGTAGGGACTCTTATATGGAAACTGCTTTGCTATTATAGCAAATCATTTAATTTGATTGCCAGTGTGATACACTAATACTGTTCTCCAACAGTTTAGAAATTACCGGTCCAAGAGATACATAAAAGTTATTGATGGCCTTTCCTGGAAATGAATTTGGATAGATAGCGTTGTGTAAAGCAAATGCTGTATCGATTTAGGCTGTGTGCAGTTTCCCGTCCTTTGACTTGTTATTTTTTTTCCCCTTTCCTTTCCGTGCAATAGCAGTTGCGGCTGCTGCTGCTTCAGCAAATGGTGCTGCTGGTGGCCTAGCAGGAACGACCAGTGGACCATTTCGACCTCTCGGGACTCAACAGCCTCAGCCGCAGCAGCAGCCCACCAGCAACTTGGCGTCCAGTTCCTTTTACGGCAACAATTCCCTAACTAGCAATTCACAGAGCAGCTCGCTCTTTTCTCAGGGCTCTGCCCAACCTGCCAACACTTCCCTTGGCTTTGGGAGCAGCAGTTCCCTTGGTGCTACCCTGGGGTCTGCGCTGGGAGGCTTCGGAACAGCAGGTAGGAATGGCATCTGTCCTGAAGTGGAGAAACACTACGTATCTATGTGTTGCTGCGGTCGGGGAGGATAAGAAATTGATGTAGGTCAGTTCTGAATAAAGCTCCCGGTTCATAATAGATCCAGCAAAGAAAGATCCTTTATGACATGACCCTGGTTTACACATTGCACTAAAGCTACAGTTTGCTCAGGGTGCCACAGGAGTTGTGTTCACACAACACAGCCATAATCAAACAAATCACGCAATCACTTAGTGCAGTGTGTTAACACAGCCCATAATCTAGTTCATTGATATCTGTATATGAAGGAATATTATTGCTGTATTTATTATTGCATTCTCCTAGCATTTCATGGTCTTCCCTATTTTATTTAAACACCTGCCTCTAAAGTATTACATTAAAATTGTGACTAACCCGAGTTTTCCCAGTAAATTTTGTTTCACACCCTAAATCCCAGTACTTACGTCCTTTATATCTCACTGGTTATCACATATCCCACTGGTTCTTTGCTAAATTGTTGAGAAAGTGGCTTGTATTCCAGGACTCAGCAAAAATGAAAATCTCAGAGAAATGCCATCTCTCTTTCAGTAATCTGATCCCTCAGTTCTAGAAATCTCATGTGAGAAAACCAAAATGATGTGTAAAAATACAAGAAAGCTCACAGGATGTTGGCATTCCAGTAAGATTTTGCAAGGTTTTAGCAGTGTTGTGCAAAACCACCAAAATCATGTAAGATTTCAGTTTTTAAAATAATTATTTTTAAATTATTTAATGTAGGGAGTGTTGTTTGAAGTTTAGACATTTCTTGTCATCCCTGTTTCCATTAATTTGAAAGAATTTCCAGTAGCATCTGGAGATAATTCCGAATCTTTCAATTTTGCTTTGATAATTAGACCCAGAGATATTTTCCGTTGTTAATATCCACCTTCTCCTTTTCTTACTGATGGAACCTTTCGCTCATCTCTCCCCTCCATTCCTTTCTGTTTCAGTTGCAAATTCCAACACAGGCAGCGGTTCTCGCAGAGACTCCCTCACGGGCAGCACTGATCTCTATAAGAGGACATCCAGCAATTTGACTCCTATAGGACATAGCTTTTATAATGGCCTTGGATTTTCCTCTTCGCCAGGTCCAGTAGGCATGCCTTTGCCTAGTCAAGGACCTGGCCATTCTCAGACTCCTCCACCATCCTTGTCTTCTCATGGCTCCTCTTCAAGCTTAAACCTTGGTAAGGACGCTGCTGTTCTCACAGGTTAAATCTGCTTCTTGGTTGAAGCTGTGGCTGCTACTCTTGTCATTGCTTCCCATCTGGCCCACTGTTTGTAGGAAGCTTGCTGTTCTCCAGATGATTTGAATGACAGCTTAGGGCATCTAATTCAAAATATTGGAAGGATCCATTCTGTCTACTGCTGCACTAAATGGCTATATAGCCTGGTTGGATGTTCCTGCTGATGTGACAGGGCCTCTAGAGTCCTAAATCTGAACTGGCTAGGAAGCTTCCTTCTTGAGGGCCTGCTCTGCAAGGCTGTTTTGAGAGCTCAGCAAGATTGGGCCCCTGCTTTGCCCAGTTAGAGAAGTGCAGACGACTTCTATCTTATAAATGATCTGGAATCCTTATAAAGTCGTCTTTTATTCGTCTTGGCCAGAAAGAACAACAGAATCCCAATATTAGGTAAAATGGGCCTTTTGTGAATGTTCGTTGGTTAGACTGTTATCCTTTCAGTCACATTAGCCAGGAGATTTTCCCTTACTGGCTTTCAACTCCAGCTTCTGTCTTGGTCTGAAAGACTATAGGATCCCATTAAGCAGAGTGGCTGCGTAGCCGCAAGTGAGCTGGATCCAGGATTGTTCCATCTTTGGCTCTTGATAGGGTTGCACACCTGTAGGTTGTGGGTAATGTATTTACACACCCAGATGGTCTATTGACTGAGACATAGTCTTCTAGTGAGTCTGTACAGAATGTTTTTCCAAGAGCATATGCTAGCAAATAGAAAGGTGGGGGCAGTGGAGAAGGATAGGACCGCATGTAAGATGTTGCAATAAAAAAGTATTGTCAGTGGCATTTGGGGTAGAGCTTGTGGGTTTGCATATATCAGTGTTGTCCAAACTTGGCCACTTTAAGGTGAGTGGACTTCAACTCCCAGAATTCCCTAGCCA